GCGCCCCGGCGCCCGCCCATTGGAGGGCCGCGCCGTCCGTCCAGCCCCGCCCCGCCCCGCGAGCTTCCAGCGCAGCCGAGGACTCGGGCGAGAGAGCAGCGAGGCGCTGAACGCTGGCGGGCTTCTCCGGTCGCGCAGCGGCGTCGGCCGGCGCCGGCTCGTGGGCTCACCGCCTGCAGCCATGACCCTCGCAGCCCGTCGCCTGGCCTCGGCCCGGGGCGTCTGACTTCCCACACGGTCGCACGCAGCTGCTGGAGAGGCGGCCCCGGCTCCCGCGTCGCCCTCGGCGCCTCTCTCACTCCCTTTCGCGGAGCTGGGAGCAGCGCGGGCAGCCGGCGCTCCCGTGCAAACTGGGGGTGTCTGCCGGAGGCGCCCCCGCCGCCGCCGTGCCCGCTGCCCTGGACCCTCGCCATGGCCCGGCGGGGCGCGGGGCCGAGCGTTCCCCGGGCGCCCGCAGGAGGCGTCGGGCTGCGCCTGGGGCTGCTGCTGCCGTTCCTGCTGCTTCTGGGGCCGGCGCGGGGCTTTGGCGACGAGGAGGAGCGGCGCTGCGACCCCATCCGCATCGCCATGTGCCAGAACCTCGGCTACAACGTGACCAAGATGCCCAACCTGGTGGGGCACGAGCTGCAGGCGGACGCCGAGCTGCAGCTGACAACTTTCACGCCCCTCATCCAGTACGGCTGCTCCAGCCAGTTGCAGGTGGGCGACCCCGACCCCTGGGGGGACCTCTGGGCGGGGACGCCCCACACTCCCTCCGTGGAGCCCAGGACAAGTCCAGCGCCCCGTCCCCTCCTAGTCCGCGGCGTACAGCTCACTCCCTAGAAAAGAGATTTCCATCCCTGACTCCACTTTGCAGTCCCTTCTCAGAGACTGGAAGCCAAAACGTTGTGTAAGTCATCTGGCTTGCGAAAGAACCCACTCTTGCACCCCGCCCTTCCGTTTCTCTCCCCTGCCCACCCGTGTCTGGCCAAGCCCCTAACCCCAGTGGAGTTGGGGGTTATCTTTGCCAAGGATTCTGGCCACCGCTGCTAGGTGGGTGAGTCCTCAGCGGAGCAGCCAGCTGCAGCTCGGACTTGGGAGGAGAGATATGGAGACAGAAACTCTCCTCCCTTCCCGACCCTCCGACCTCCTTTCTCCTCGTATTTGTGTGTGTGTGTGTGGGGGGGGGGATGAGTTATTAAGTAGAATACCACTGCTCCGTTTCTGCGGAACGGCCCCTTCGCGCATATTCCCACACGGTTTTAGAGGTCACTGCAAGAAGGAGTTACTGGGTTGGCTTGAGTTCTTTCTTATCCTCAGGGGTGAAGGCGGGTTTAGTGCTTGGAGGGAGAGAAAAGGCTCCAGGAAGGTAGTTTGTGTATCAGAAGGGTCCCCCCCCCCGTTTTAAAAGTCATTAAAGTTTTTGAAGATTTGCAATGTGCTATGATACAGAGATTGTTCTACAAGAACAAGTGAAGAGAGAAATTTGCATATACAGGCTGCTTATAATCTTGCAAGAACAGCCCATGGGGGAACTGAAAGGAAAATTTAAAAATTTAACGTTGTGTTTTGATTGGTGAGGCTGAGAGAGTTTTAGAAATGTAGAAAAGAGAGCAATAGGGGGAAAAATAGAGGTCAGTGTCTAGGCTGAAGGCTTCAGAAATTCGTGGTTCTGGCTCTGAGTTCTGAGAGATAAGAAACAGACATACTGTTTATGACTGGCTGCGTGTTTTTACATAGGTTATTTTAAAAGTTGGATTGTGATTTTGGAAAGATGATTGGGATTAGACCTGCTGCTGGTGAAATATCCCTTTGGAAGTTTAAGAACTTTAGAAATAGGTTATGAAAGCCTACGAAATGATCTTGTAGTTCTGTTTGGAAACGGCACATATCCTGACATCAGTGGCAATTTTGTTGGAGAAACAGCTTTTGCAGGGATATATATTTTTAATTACACATATCCTGGGGATGCAGCCAAGCTGTTTTGAAGGACAGGACTGGATCCCTTTACATGCTGGAAAATAGTTACTTGTAACTCTAGACTTCACAGACAACATCTGTAAGGAGCCAAGGAGACTGTTTATCAATGCTGGAAGAATTGAGGACAGCAACTGGACCCTCCCTTGCTGGCATTGCAGTTTCAGAGACTTAACATTTATGCTTTCCTATTGTGTTTCATTGTTATTCACTGAAGAAACCCTGGCCAAACAAACCCCTGTTGACCACAGACCTCTATTTGCAGCCCACTCTTGGTCTGTGTCTCAGTATATATTTTGTCCTAATATGGCACTAATTTAAATTTTTGTTAAAAAAAGAATGTGAACAAAACCTACAGTTCTTACATTTTTAAGATGATAAGGAAATGGAATACAAAGGCACCCCCTTAGTTAAATGAGCCATTTTACTAGATTCTTCAGATCATTCAAATAGTACCTACGACTGGGGTAGTAACATATACCCACAATTTTGAGCCTACCCTGGGTAATTTAGCAACTTGACAAGATCTATCTCGAACAAAAATGTTTTAAATTGTATTAGTACCTGTTTGCAAAACATAGCGATTGCATTCATTGTAGGGAATTGGTACCCGTACATCAAATTTCTTTTCCCCCCTCTTCGTTGGACTCCCCTTTTATTTTGCCAGCATCAGATTCACTTATTTTATCCTTAAAAAGGGCTAGAGATGTAGCTCAGTGCAGAGATCCCAGGTTCAATCCCCAGTACTACAAACAGTAGATAAATTGGGAAGGAATTTGAAAGTTAGTTTTTAAAGTTTTGTTTTTTAATGGTTATATGAAGAAAGATTATGGAATTCTTCAGTCATATATGTAAATATGTTTCTCCAGGGAGGATTACAAGAGCCATGCTAAGTAAAGTGTGTGGAAGTGGTAGGTTATTTGGAACTCTTGTTGGAGGTTAGAGTAAACAGGCAGACACCCAGTAGGCTGATTTAGAAGTAGATATGTGCATTGCCTGGAAGCACTCTCTCAGCTCTGGGCAGGCATTTGGTTACACTTCCAAGTCATTGTTTTCTTTGTTCATTTCATTACTTTTCCAGTTCTTCCTCTGTTCGGTTTATGTGCCAATGTGCACAGAGAAGATCAACATCCCCATTGGCCCATGTGGTGGCATGTGCCTCTCAGTCAAGAGACGCTGTGAGCCTGTCCTGAAGGAATTTGGCTTTGCCTGGCCTGAGAGCCTGAACTGCAGCAAATTTCCACCCCAGAACGATCACAACCACATGTGCATGGAGGGGCCAGGGGACGAAGAGGTGCCCCTACCCCACAAAACCCCCAGCCAGCCTGGGGAGGAGTGTCACTCTGTGGGAACCAATTCCGATCAGTACATCTGGGTCAAAAGGAGCCTGAACTGTGTTCTCAAGTGTGGCTACGATGCTGGCTTGTACAGCCGCTCGGCCAAGGAGTTCACCGACGTGTGGATGGCAGTGTGGGCCAGCCTGTGCTTCACCTCCACCACCTTCACTGTGCTCACCTTCCTGATTGACTCTTCCAGGTTTTCTTACCCTGAGCGCCCCATCATATTTCTCAGTATGTGCTATAATATTTATAGCATTGCTTATATTGTCAGGCTGACTGTAGGCCGGGAAAGGATATCCTGCGATTTTGAAGAGGCTGCAGAACCCGTTCTCATCCAAGAAGGACTTAAGAACACAGGATGTGCAATAATTTTCTTGCTGATGTACTTCTTTGGAATGGCCAGCTCCATTTGGTGGGTTATTCTGACGCTTACTTGGTTTTTGGCAGCAGGACTCAAGTGGGGTCACGAAGCCATTGAGATGCACAGCTCCTACTTCCACATCGCCGCTTGGGCCATCCCTGCGGTGAAAACCATAGTCATCTTGATTATGAGACTGGTGGATGCAGATGAACTGACAGGCCTGTGCTACGTTGGCAGCCAGAACCTCGATGCCCTCACTGGCTTCGTCGTGGCTCCCCTCTTCACTTACTTGGTGATTGGAACTTTATTCATTGCTGCAGGTTTGGTGGCCTTATTCAAAATTCGGTCAAATCTTCAAAAGGATGGGACAAAAACAGACAAGTTGGAAAGGCTGATGGTCAAGATTGGTGTCTTCTCCGTACTGTACACGGTTCCTGCCACCTGTGTGATTGCCTGTTACTTCTATGAAATCTCCAACTGGGCCCTCTTTCGGTATTCTGCGGATGACTCAAATATGGCCGTTGAAATGTTAAAAATTTTTATGTCTTTGCTGGTGGGTATCACTTCAGGAATGTGGATTTGGTCTGCCAAAACTCTTCACACGTGGCAGAAATGTTCCAACAGATTGGTGAATTCTGGGAAGGTAAAGAGAAAAAAGAGAGGGAATGGTTGGGTGAAGCCTGGGACGGGCAATGAAACTGTGGTGTAAGTCTGGTCAGGCTCCGCCTCCCTCACCTTGAAGGAGGCGGTGCCCGCATTTCTGTGGAAGTGCTACTACAAGTTTGATGGAGTGAATCTCAGTTGGAACAAACTAGCAACACAAGCATCCCCATCAGTCCACTACCCATCACTCCCACCCCAGCATCAGAAAAACTGATGATTTTGCTGCGGACTTCGGAATGATCCAAAAATGGAAAAGCCAGTTAGAGGCTTTCAAAGCTGTGAAAAACCAAATTGTTGATCACTTTAGCAGGTTACAGCTTAGAGCCTGGAGGTCCTGCTTACATTCCAGCAAGTCCAGGGTGATGCTGTTTTTCCTTACAGGGTGGGATTTGAGCTGGGAGCTGATAACTTGCAGAAGGGAAGATTAATTTTTTTAACCCTTTAAAATTTTAAATGCTAACTAGGTCTTTCAGATAGCAAAGTGATCTATAAACACTGGAAATGTTGGGTTCAGAGAAGTGTTACAAGAGTTTTATAGTTTGGCTGATCTAACATAAACATCTTTTGTGGTGCGCTGTCTTCTGTTAAGAACTTTGTGGATTGCACTCCCAAGAGGTGATGTCAAAATATTTCAGTGCCTTTGTCATGAAACAGAATTGTTTGAACAAACAAAGTACTGTTCTGACAAATATAAGGTATCCAGTGGATTTTTTTTTTTCTCTCTCCATCTCTCTTGAATTTCAACATCTCTGTTCTAGGCTGCTGCTGTTTTCATTTTACACTAATGACTCAAAAAAAGGTATTTTTATAGGAATTTTTGCAATGCAGCATGCCTAATGAGGGGGGAAAGGAAGGGCGATTCCCTTTCTGACAATCAGTTAATTCACAGGAAAATGAGATTTACAGAGTTGACTTACCTTCCCAACCCCAGAGACCTATTGCGTTGAGCAATGGGGACTTAATATATTTTACTTCGTGTGATTGCATCTATGCAGACGCCAGTCTGGAAGAGTTGAAACGTTAAATTTCTTGGCAACTTTGCATTCACACAGCTTAGCTGTGTAATTTATGTGTGTCAATTACAATTAAAAGCACATTCTTGGACCATGACATAATATACTCAACTGACTTTAAAACTATGGTCATCTTGCATTCTTAGACTGATAGTGCCTTTTTACCCCTTAGCTTAAGAATGTTATCAGAGTCTCGTCTACTTACCACACTGGAGACTTATTCATTTTTGTAAAGGGAACTAAGGACAGCTAATCCAACAACTTGGCGCCTAATTGTTCCTTAGTAATTAACAAAGGCTCCTTATGAGATTTCATTGGAGGCAGTGTGGCCTGCAGTATTTATGTGGTGCTTAATGAATCTCCAGAAATGCCAGCCAGGAGCTGGACTGGTTAGCAGGGAATAAAGTGTAGGCCATATGAAATGAACTACAAAATCTAACAGCACAGGTCTTAATTGCCTTATGTGGAAATATCCAAAGGCTTTAAAATGTATGCTTTATGTTCCTCACAAGGGAAAACCCCCTAGAAGCTATCAAACGTTGCAGTTCTTTTAAGATTGTAGCCGGCCTTTTTCTTAATCTGCCTTAGGCGTCCTAACCACCGGATCTCTAGGACAATTTGCTGTCCACGTCACAGGTTGCTCTCCTTGTAGCTCATAGCTGTCTTTAACAACTGCTTCGCAGTGACTTACTATTTATTAATTCATGCCTTTTTAAAATTAGGTAGGAAAAACTTTTTTTTTGCTTTTGTGAAGAAATAGTACCAGAGACTCAGAATTCCAAACAGGTGATCAAATTCTGGAAAATAAGCATGTCTTTTTTTATTTTGATTTGAGCTTTAGGCCCATGGTTTGACATTTTCCGTCCTTTTGTGTTCCTGTTTTGACATGTTACTGAATAGACCCCTACAAGGTCTGCTGCATATTTGCAAGGAAGAGCAGGGGGGTTTGAGATAGAAGCCATCTGAGCCTGGGGCTGCTGCTGCTTTGCGCAGTGGGCTCGGGGTCAGCGGCCCACGGAAAGTGAGAGTTGACCACCGCCAGGACCAGTTCTACTCTATTTGAGGCTGCATTGCCCACAGAATGCAAAACGTGAGCTCCCCGTGCTGCTCCTGGAGGGTTCTCAGAGCTGTCCAGGGCCCTGGAGAGCGCACCCAGGGCCAGAGCCTGCCCTTACTCACGCTCTGTGCTGGTGTCTTGGGAGTTGTGTGGAGAGTTTGGCCCGGGGAAGGGAAGGAGGATCCGCAGCCAGCGAGTGCCCTTGCTCTTGGAGTACAGGGGCTCGTGTGGCAGTTTTCCCTGTAATGCTTCCTGATTGTATGACCAGGGCAGCACCTACCAAGTCTGGGCGTGGAGCAGGCGTTCAGTATTTGTGATTAACTAACAGCCATAACTAGAGCAGAGCGCTGCGTTGAACCTGGACACTTACACTCTGCACGCTGGGGCTTGTGCCCTGACAGTTCTGGAGGGTTGCCTGTGTGCTCCACAGACAGGTTGCCCTTTCCAGGGACGGGACGTTGGATTAGAAGTGGCTGTGGAGGGTTCTCAGCGTGGACAGCAGCCGTAGCAGTGCCACGGCGTGAGGGGCCTTTCTTCTCACATTCCAGACGATGGAGAGTGCTTACGGTTTCCAGAGAGGAACTTTGTGGTGGAGGAATCAGTTTCCAGTGCCCTTCGAGCAACTCTAGGTTTTGTCAAATTGATACTTATTTTTAAAAAGCAAAAAAGTCTGTTATGTGTTCAGTTATTGAGTGCCCCCCGTGTGTGAGGCCCTAGGTTGGGGCCTTAGGGATGCTGCGGGAGGTGAGCTCTGTTCTAGTGCGTGTAAGGGAGAGATCCTATGCTACGCTTGGCTGCTGGTCTTGTGAGCTGCCCGTTTGCAGTAGGGGCTTCTAGAATTCAGATTCGGGTCCCTGTCTCTTCCACAGCCCTCTTTCTGGGTCTCTGTACCTTTAATATATCTTATATCCTTTTCCAGGATTCCTTCTAAGTCAGTTACGGGGGTTGCAGCAAACCTCGAGCTGTGCTTCATGACAATCTACATACAAGTTTCTGGGAAAACTGATAACAAGATATATGGAAACAAATTCCCCCCATAGCTCCTGTGGCTTTGGGGCAGGCAGCTTGTATGTCAGTTGTTCCTTGTGACTTGTATCAGTATTTGAAGAGAGTGTCCTAATAGGAAAAAAATAAGTTTTTTTTTCCCCCTTTCTGAAATCTAGAATAAGGTCTATTTGAAGCTTTTAGAAAAGTCCCTTGGCCTCCAGAGACTTCATTGAACTGGACCAAGGGTGCCTCAGTCCAACCTCCTCTTTGGAAGATTTTTTTCCTGCTTCATAGAGGTCAAACCTAAAAACAGGAACATGGGGTAGAATTGGCCAGAACCATCTGGTTAAGCTATCTGATTGATTCATATCCGTCTTCCTTTGTGGAGCCCCATTTCCTGATCGTTGAGACTACTTCCGAGCTGGCAGCTCACTCAGGACCCTGAAACTGGAGAAGGGGTGATGCCCTTCTTCTTCTCTGAGACACTCGTTGATTTTTACCTTTCGTGGGTCGCTCCCTTACTTGTGTTCCCTGGAAGCAGCATGTGGAAAGCTTTTGTGTTAGGTTGCGCGTCATCATTCTGTTGGGTATCCCTAGCTCTGCACTCCCTGGCTTCCTGGTCACGGAGCGGAGGGGTTTCCTTTTGTGTTGAAAACCAAGCTGGTACCTGAGGACACGAAGATAAACTCAAGCCTCTCCAACCCAACTGGGCAGGATGGTTGAAAGGGGTCTCACCAGGATGGAGGGATCTGTTTCTGATCAGGTAGCTACGGCTGCCGTTACTGCAGGGACCCGCAGGGCAGACTTGGAAGGACCCTCTTGAAATCAGTCTACATCCTGAATTTCATTCTGTGGTACCGAGAATTGGCGGGAATTGCTCTTCTTGCCAGTCAAGTCAAGTTGCTGGATTCTGGCAGCGTCTTTGTTCCTTTATTGTGTTTGAGTTCAGAGTCCGTGTGTGGGTTTGCATTGTGTCCGGCAAGGCACCTGGGTTATCACTTTTCTTCTGTGGCTAGGTCACTGATCTTGGAAAGTATTGTGCTCCTACCAAAGATCAGATAGATACTGGAGCCTTAAATAATGGATTTGGCTTCACTGTAGCCTGGATAGAGCCCTCCGTTGCCGCCTGTGGCCATGCAGATGTGCGGCCGAGGCATGCTTGGCGGGGGGAGGGGGGTGAACCGTGCATCCGTGGCGTGCCTCTTCCCTGGTAAGTCCAGCTGCCACAATAGGGGCTCGTTGGTTTCTTATTTTCCCTATTTCACCTCTTCACATCAGCAAATTCCTGGTGTTCACCCAGGCAGTTTGTAGAGGACCTTTTTAGGATCCCTTATGAGCCATGTCCTCAACACCCTTGTACCTCTTTTGGTTTCCTGCAGCATTCAGTCTGTGACCACTGTCTCCCAGAAGGCTTCTGAAAAGGAGGTGGAGAGCAGTTCTGCCCCAGAGTTTGGGTTCATCTTCCCTCTCAGGTTGTTAAAAATTCCCAGTCCTGTGAATAGGCCCTGACTTTGTTGTGGGGTCTTGGGGGGCCACTGTCTTCTCCCTCTCTCCCAGTGGGGCACATTGATGGTTCTGAGTTTCTGCTACCTCACAGGGATCATGTGAGGCTTCAGAACGTCTACAGAGGAAGAAGGCCTCTTGAGCTCTGCATAGGGAAGGTGGACTACGAGACCGGTGCAACGTGCAGTCTGCTGAAATAAGACAGCCTGCTTTGTGTGGCAGTCAGACTAGTTGCTCGCTGGCCTTTTCTGAGATCCTCCTGCCGCCACACAGCTCCAGGAGCGTGGAGGCCATCCTGGGGGACTTTGTGATGTCCAACATAGAGGTACCAGGCAAGTTCCTGTAACATACCCTGAATGAGTTGCTGAATTTCAAGGGGAAAAGACCCTGCTTTTAAGGATGTACAAAAGTATGTCTGCATTGATGTCTGTACTGTAAATTTCTAATTTATCACTGTACCAAAAAACCTTGCTATTTAATTTTTGTATTAAAGGAAAATAAAGTTTTGTTTATTAACTCATGTGTGAGTTGGCCTACTTCTGCAAATATAGCTTGGCCCCCCAGGAAGCATATATGCCCAGCAACAAGAAAGGGGGCATTCAGTTTGCACAGCAGATTGAGAAATACTTTCTCGGAGCCTCTGTTTATTTTTACTAGTGCTATTTTTCCCCTCTGGGATTTCTTCTGGGTCAGCAACCCCCACAATCCAAGGCCAACAGGATTGATCACCTCTGTGGCCTTCAGTAGTATGCAAGGAGGTCACAGGATGCCTTGGGTGTGACTGTAGTTCACTAACAGCTGTCCCCGTGGCTCTGCTTTTCACCATTTCTAGGGTGACCATTTTTACCTCCAGGTTTCACTAACATAATCTGGTGGCACAGAAATACTGTCTCATTCCTGTTGAGCATTTGAAACCTTTTTAGAAAGGAAAGGGAGCTTTTGGAAAACAAATTTTTAATCTTAACTTTTCCCTGGCAACACAACAGTTGTATTTTGTGTGAGAAAAGTGTGTTACCTTGGTCAGGCAGGAGAACATCTTCTTTAGCTACTTTTAGAAATTGAGTGGCCAGTGTCCCCACATCCAGAAAGGTTGTCACAAACTCAGAGCAATGGCTAGGATATTGTCATGGGGCCACACAGAGAGGAGAGCTACTGCCATCGGAGATTTCTGCCGATGTCCCTGAGGAGAGCAGCCCTCTTGGTTTGCTTCTAAATTTCTTTCCACCCTTTAACTTCACTTGAATGCCAGTGTGTCTCGGGGTGAGTAAAAAGTCCAGTATGCAAGAATTTGCAATACTCCTCTCCTTATCTGCAGATTGCTATTGTACTTTTATCTCAAACCTTAAATGAAAGGAAGCATATAATTTAAATTCTCTTCCCTGTAAGACAGGCTGTATTTCTCATTCCATTACCTACTCATTAAGTAGTTATGAAGTTAAGGAAAAGTCAACACAATCTGGAATGAATTCATAATAATCCCTTGCACTGGTAGAAGCGCTTTCCCCATAGAAAATACTTCCATGATTTTACTTTATTCTGATGGCATTTCTGAAGCAGACAGGGCAAGTGCTGCTTTTCTCCACCCTTCCAGAGGCAAGGGGAGCCCAACAGGGAGCTAGGAAGCTACAAGGCCAGATCTCCTCCGCCTGGATCCGGGCTTGTGTTTGTTTCATTTTGTATGGGTTTTCTTTTTTGCTTTCATTTTACATTCCTATGGGTTGCATTGTTAGGTTGAAGTCCGAACTCCCAATACCTGTGAATGTGACCTTATTTGGAAACAGGGTCTTTTTGGATGGAATTAAGTTAAAAGGAGCTCCTAGGAGATTAGAGGGGTGTCCACCCCAACAGCATATCCACCTCCGCAGAAGGAAACGTAACCACAGACAGAGGAAAATGCCCCGCAAAGGCACAATTGAAGCCTTACAGTGGCAGGCCATGCAGGAAACAGCAAGGTTGGCTGGGAACCTCTCAAAGCGGGAGCAAGCTTGGAGGATTCTTCCTCAGAGCGTTTGGAAGGAATCAACTTAGAGTTCAGACTTCTAGCCTTCAGAACAGTGAGAATAAGCTTCTGCTGTCTTAAGCCACCCAGTTTGTGAGGATTTGCTACAGATCCCCTTGGGAAGAAGCACATACCCAATCCCTTGATTTCTTTACTACAAAGTCCTTCACTGGACGTGGCTAAATCTTCACCAGGCATTCTCTCAATAGATCTGGCTGTGAGCCTCTGTTTCTGAAGATTATGTAGCACAGTCACTGCAGTGAACGTCTGCAAACTGGTCATCTATAGTGCAAACCTCGTGATCCCTTGACCCCAACTGGTTGAAACTGGTCTTGGCTGATCTCCCACCCATCCACCCGCAATGGGAGCTCTGTATGCAGGGGCAGGACCCTAAGGGGAATGTAGCTCAAGGGTTTTTAGCATTTTTGTCCTGAGAACTGATTTTTTTTCTCTTTCCCATTTTAGCTTTCACATGCAATCATAATTTTAAAGTTGAGCTGACTTTTGACTAAAGAGGTCACCCATGGCCTCCTGTTTTTAGAGGTTCTGTGAACAGAAATAAACTGCACTGGGAGAAAGGCTGGATCCTCTCCTCAGTTTGCTTTCACTATACGGCTGAGTTGGTAGGACATCACTGAATATTCTGGAAATATGTTGAGCTTGCAAAGATGTAGTCCAGAAAGGCTTTCAAATGCCTAGAGCCACAACAGCCTATTTCTTTAGTCTCTTCACCCTAGGATACCCCACCCATCCATCCATTCAGCTTTCTGGGCAAAAGATTCCAACTTCTCTGTTTCCACAGGGAGAAAAATGCAAAAGTACTTTCCCATCAACATCTGTCATGGTTACCTATGAACATCTAGGGAGCATTTTAAATTCTTCCTTCTGAAGAATTTTAGTCTATGAAACAAAAACTGTTAGATGCCTAAGCACAGAATCTGTCTATTACCCAAAGCAGGGGTAGGGAGCAGAATGTCCGCGTTTAACACCAAGATAGGGGCTTGGGTTTGTAGGGAGAAGGCTGAGGACAAAGATACACATGGGAATTGGTGAGGAGCAACAGGGAAGAAAGGGAAAGGGAAGGCTGAGGCACAGAGAGCAGGACGCCAGCAGCAGTGGATCTGCTCCCGTGCACACAGTGAGAAAAGGTTGCCTTGTTCACGTGGACCTAGGTTCTCACGCCACAGTCACCTGTGGTAATTTCTGAGCCGGCCAGGAAGGTCAGACCCTAACCTCTTTTTCCTGAGGGGTCTCAGCTAGGAGGAAAGGAGGGAAGGTTGGTGAAAAGGAGAGACTGCCTACCTCTGATGTTTTCTAACACAGATGTAAATGTCTTTTTCCAAAGGTTAGCTTCTCAGAGCCATTCTTATGTTTGCAAAGATCTGCGATTTCTCTGAGTGACCAACTTGAAATATGCCAACAAAGTACACTTGGGGTGGTATATTTTGACCTCTCTCAGGTCCAATCCTCTTTTCATCTAAGAACGTGCTTAATCTTAAGGGCGAGCCCCAATTGTCAGTGCCTTTCTACTTAAGAGATGAAATGATTAACTATGCAAATTTCCTAAAGTGCCTGAGGATTGCTTCATTTTAGTTGATATGAGGTAAAAATGAGTAGGGGACAAAGCCACAAGATGGGACTGGTAAGTCACAAGCAAGTTTGTGCTGGTTTCTCTTAGTTCTAGCACTGTTCTCATGTTCATTTTCCTCCCACACTTGCCTTGCGTTTTGTTTTGTTTCGTTTTGTTGAGAGTCTGTGTTGCTCTGGTTGATCTCAAACTCAGCTGGCCCAACAGTTCTTCTGCCTCACCTTCCCAGGTGTGTGTGGGGGTGTCTGTGTGGGGGGGGTTCATTTGCCAGTAAAGCTCTCCCCATCTTTCTTCAGCTAGGTTATATCTGTTCCTGCTTCACAACCGAAATCTGTGTCATCTCTCCCGGGAAGACTTCCGGGTCTTCCTGTTTACAACTTCCTGCCTCCTTTCCCAGCCCACTATTGGCCCCTTCAGCCCCTATGCCTTTACCTCTGAGAATGTTTGTGTCCGTCTGCAGCAGTCTGGGTGTGCATCCCTTTCCTCGCTAGACCGAGCTCCCTGAGCGTGACTCCACTCACCAAGATGGCCTCTCCAGGTATCCTCAGGGCCTCACACAGTTCTGGAACATTTGTGGAAGGAAGAGAGGGAAAAAGAGAAAGGAAAAAGGAGGAATGGAATAAGGAAAGAAAGAACCAAGTAAATGAGGGAGTTGATTAGCTGATCTGATGGGAACTGAGGAACTGAAAGGCTTTTGCGACCAATGTGGCCAGCAGAGAGAGGAAGCCAAAGGTGACAAGAGCCGTCACATCAGCACTGCTTTCTAGGAAAGTGCTGGGCACTGGCCACAGGAAACTTTTACCTTCAAAGATGGATTAGAGAATGGTTGCCTGTTTCTCTGTGTCACTTGTTGTAACTGTCTCTCCCCTTCTTCCCCCGACAAATACGAATGCTGAGCATCTACTGCAGTACAGCACTGGGGTGGAAGACAAGGGGGGGGGGATTTAAAGCACAACAAAATAAATAAACAAAATTGAGCAGGCCTGGTGGTCCATGCCCACAGTCTCTGCACTTCAGGAGGCTGAGGCACAAGCATCTCAAATTTGAACCCAGCCTGAACAAATAAAAAACTTTGCAAGACCTTGTCTCAAAACAGAAAATTAAAAAATGCCTTCGGATACAGCTCAGTGTGAAGGCCCTGGGTTCAAACTCCAGAACCACAAAACAACATGAAAGACAAATTTCCATTTAGAATCCTCAAATGATGACAAACTAGAGAAAGAATTCCGCTGTTACTAACAAGCTCAACACAATAAACCTGGAAGAACAAATCCTCTGCTGCTTAGTAAATATTTGTTGACTGGTAGGACAAGGGTCCGCCATGTGCTAGCCACTGTCCCAGGAAGACTCTGTAGGGAACACTGAGATAAATAGAACTTAGTGTGTATTCCAGAAGTTTAGGTAGGAAGCCACGGGTCTCTTCCTATCCCCTCCCCAAGATCGGGGCTGCTAGGCCTGTCAACCTTGCTGCGTAATCCCTTCCTAAACTACGGCCCGAGGTCCTGCTGGGTTAGCCAGGGTCTATCAGCTTCGGAGCGCCCAGCCTAGTGAAACAGTCTCTGAAGTGTTGTCAGCTCACCGCTGACCCCTAACAGGACAGGCCTGCCTCACGGGAATTGGTGAGGAGAACACCGGGAAGAGGGGGAAGGGAGAGGGGGGCGCACGGACCCGAACTCTTTTAGCACTGAATCTGCTCCTCGGAATTCGGGGTCTAAAGTATAAAAGTTGGAATTTACTTGTGATGTGGTATCGGAGACATGAGTCGCTGGCTCTCACCCACTGTCTCCAGGGGAGCATCTTTCTAGGCCCACGTGTCGATTTTTGTCCACACCGTGGAAGGCATTACCTGAATGCCTGTTACAGTGACTCTGCCTTGTGTCCCCTGGACCTTTGCTCTTGCTACTTGCTTGTCCTGACGCAAGAAACCCAAAGT